TCCATCTAAAATCTAAGCCTAGGTCGGCCTCTGGGCCGTTTTCCTCTGGGATTTTGTTGGTCCACCCTCTTTATTCCTCTGTCGTTTTGGAATTCTTTCTACGAGTCCTACCCAGCGTAGTCGGCACATTTTTAAAAAAAAATTTTTTAAAATTTCTGCTACTACCGTGAGATCTTGAAATAGACCAAACAATTCCTGGTTAGTTTGTATTCTCCACCCATATTCATTCTTTGTTTGTCCATATATTTTCCGGATGACTTTTTTCTCCCATGCCCATGTGTTGGATAGGTTTTCTGCCGTTTTCTATATATATAGGGGAGGGATTTTCGGCCCACTGTGGAGTTGTTTTGTTGTTTTTATCTTCAGTGAAGGGGGCGTCTAGAATATTGGCCTGCCTAGGGCGCAACTAATCCTACCTAGGCCACTGTATCCATTACTTAAAACCAAAAAAGCCCAAATGCACAGGAGGAACCGGTTTAACAGTAAAAGTAGAACAAGCGACATGCTGTGACGGTCTCCCTCCTCGATCTAAACGCTGCCAAGGGGGACGTAAATAAACATATTTGACCCGGAAATGAAACAACGACAACCGCACATACATGTTTAGAAGAGGGATATTTGGGAATGGGCCACAAATCGCCAAGACAGAACATCAACATAATTTTTTTTTTATTTTATTATTCATAATTGAAATACTCTTAACATCTGGTAAAGGATGCCAGCGTCGCACCCTAACTTGACTGCAAAACTTTTAACGCACCCCACGTCTCAATTTAAAAAAAAAAGAAATATAAAAAAATTATTTCCGCACCTTTAAATGCTAATAAAATAGCAAATAAACATGTCGTCTTTTCTTTTTTGGTAGTACCTGCTGCAAGCCTCTGACATTGCCTCTTTCACCACATCCACACTGGGGTGGGCGGAAAACTTAGCTAAGAACCCTTGCTCTGGTATTTATAAAACGACCCTCAGGTTTTGGGAGGGGGGAGGGGGGGGGGGGGGGGGGGCAAGTGTTAGTCAACTGAATATTTCATATCTTTCCCTGAACTGCAACATTATTATTTTTTTTTTCCTCTCACTGCTTCGCATTAATCGAATGTCAGCTCCACTTTCCGCGGCCATATTCCCAGGGGAAAGCACTGTAATGTAAAAATGTGTGACAGCGTAAAGAGGACAAGAAGAGGGGGGTCTGTGCGTGAAATTTAAACAACATCATGATGATTATAGACTACTGGGATTGCGGGACGTGGAGGCAACGGCAACGGAGAGGAGACGTTGAGGTGGGGGGAGTGTGGGGCGGGGGTGGGGAGGGGAGTGTGGGGGGACGGGGGTGAGGGATGGGGGGGTGAGGAGGATCTGCGTCGTCACGGTAGCAAATATGTCAATTTGAACAGGAAAACAAATCATGCCGGAGAAATGGTTTTGACGATCGGTCATGCATGCAATGAGATATCTTGGTAGGTTCACCCATCCCCCCACACCCATCCCAAATACCATTTTACCCCCTCTTGCTGGTCTATATTACTGTGTAAGTATGGAAAATTGAAGGGACGAAGGCAGATGCCAGTCGACCATTGTTCAACGTTGTTGTCTAAGTCACACGTCCGTACAGGCCAGTGGTACTGTGACAACAGTTTATCAGGGGGAGAGCCCTTGGTGGAAAATAATCATTCAAATGTGTTCATGGTGCTTTACCCCCCCCCCTCTCGTCACCCACACCATCACTCTCTCATTCCCCACATTCTATCACTTCTCTTCCCCCACACACCATCAACCACACACACCATCATCCTTCACCCCCACACACCATCATCCTCTCACCCCCACACACCATCATCCTCTCACCCCCACACACCATCATCCTCTCACCCCCACACACCATCATCCTCTCACCCCCCACACACCATCACCCTCTCATTTCCACAGCCTATACTTACCCATGCTATCCCCCTTTCATCCACCACACACCCACTTAGAGTAAAGGGACACACCATTATACACATTACCCCCTTTTATATTTAATTAAAACAAGAAATTAATTAGCAAGAGAATTGTATTTTAACTTTAAATATAACAGATTTATTCATTTGACTACTGCTAATTTGTTAGCTGTGACACTCTGTTTGAGTCATGTATTAATATGCCTTCAATTTCCTAACATAACATGTTGTGTCAAATAATTACCAAATGTTTATTTCAAGACCATGCCACCATAAGAAAACAATCCATGCTAAAGATAAGAAATAATGAACGGCTATAAGTATTGTAAGTACTATAACTTGTTTGTCCCCCCCCCCCCCCAACAGCATTAAAAAAAACCACAACAAAAAATAAATTTAAAAAAAACAACAACTTTAATTTGAGATTAAAAACTCAAAATGCAAGACCAATCCCAGTATATCAAATATACATATTTAGCAAATTGAAAGTAGATCATTTAACTTTGAATTATAAGACAAATATATCTTTTGTAACTTAATTTTTTTTTTTTAATTTTAAAATCCCTTCAGAATGGTCTCTAATGCACTCCAGAAATGGGACCCACTGCCCCAAGTGGTTTCATGGCTAAACATGTTTGCAATCTTGTTTTGCACACCCCACTAGTTCAGCCTTAGGGTACACATAAAAGACCACTTGTCACAGATAGAGATAGCAAAGTTATCAAAATCATTATCATTCTGGTGAGATAAACATGAAGAAAAGACAAAAAAAAAGTATTTCTAGGGATACTGACAGATTGTAAAAGTGACTCAATCAGCAGCAACTAAACATAATAATGAAAAAAAAAATGAAAGTAGGATTGGCAAACTGAAAGGAAGATAAAAGTGTAAATGAAATGAACCTAATCAATAACATATATATTGTTATGTAAAAAAAAAACTTATCTGCTAGTAAAAAGAAAGATGGCAGATCATGAGACTAGGAAATTTTAAAAAATTAGACATATATTTTTTTTGTCCAGAAGTGGATTTAGTTTGATGTAAACAAAAAAACAATACCACTTTTTTAAAAGTAACTTTTTATAGTTTTTTATAATCTAATCAAAAAAGTTGTGTTGTTCTTTTTTTTTGTTTAGGCCGGACAATGTTTACTAGATGATTAAATTCTAAACCAAGGCTACACCTGAGCTCACATCAAGCATTTTCATTAAATAATGTATTGAAATTTTAGTAATTTACAGTATAAAAAAAATATTTTTAAAAATTAATAAAATTTGCTTGAATAGGACAAAACCCTGGATCATTAAAGATTATCAGCATAATGCACAAACTAACTTAGCTTTGCAACCACTTTATATTTACAGTTATTGAACTTGTTCTAAAAATAAACGTGACCTTTGCTAGTTGCCCTCCATATTCATACTTGCTTTTAAATATAACTACACACAGAAGTAAATGATCCATAAATGGTCCACTATAAACTTCTATCTTTCAAGGATATGGGATTATTTGCAAATGAATGACCTTAGCTGAATCAGTCAAAGCATATTAGTAAAACTGAAAAAAGCTGCGGGGGAGGGGGTGGGATTATCAGATCTCAGTTGCAAGATATTTTATTTGGGGTGATCTTATATAATGATTAATTGAATAATCATAAATAAATAGTGGAACAGGCATTCCTGTTCTGAACATTCAGCTACATTGACTTTATTGAGATCTTCAAAAACAAAACTTTTAGTATTTTTTTATTTAAATTTATTTGTTTCTTTTTTGTACTGTAGTGTCTGCTAAAGACCAAAGAAGGCATCTAGCAAAAAAATAGCTTAATTGTCTTGTCCTTTATTTTCAAAGATTAACCAACATATCTTGTTCCACTATTTAATTACTTGGTAAATTATTAGCTATCGTCCCGCAATGGCCGCCATCTTGGTTCACAAAACCAGTTAATTATGTCACTAAACCTAAACTAAATGTATCCCTATGCCTAACCTGAACCCTAAATCAATCCATATGCCTAACCTGAACCCTAAATTAATCCATATGCCTAACCTGAACCCTAAAACTAAACGATCCCTCAACCTAACCTCTAACCTAAACCCTAATTCACTGCAACTATAATAAACACGCAAATGACATCATGGGGAGAACATTAAAAATCAGCCGAATGGGTATATGTGTAGCAGGTAGCAGAACCATCCAATTGCATTACATAAATCATTACATTCCTTTCCAAGTTGAAGCAATATTAATTCAATTTATTATAATTTATAATGGGGGTATAGTTACTAACTTAAGAAAATCAGTTAATTTTTCAGTGTTGGTAGTCAAGTAGTTTGAAGTAGTATACCATATTAAATGGGTACTCGCACTAAGATGTTGTTATAAACATTAGTTAATATAATAGTAATAATAGTTAATAGGCCTTTTTGACTTTGACATTTGAGTCTTTTTGAAAGTTTTTGATTTCTAGGGGGGAACGTATATTAATATTTGTGAAAATTAGAATATACCAGTGAGAAAAAAGTCACCATTAAGTCTAGTGTCTGTTCAACGTATTCTATTCTACAAATAGTAGACTGATAAGGCACAATTTTGACAAATGTTCTTACCCAAATCAGTGATAGACGCTAAGACTAAGTCAGTCACCACTTCCGTGTACCTGCAGCCATTGTTATTGTTTCGTTTTTGAAAAGTTTTCTTAGTAGCTTCCCTTTGGGCACATATATTTGTGACGTTTCTCACAACTGACACCCTCTGCTAACCCTCTTGTCTTTAACTACTTTGTGTGTTGTTCTAAGTAGGTTCGTTATGGATTAAGTTTTGGGGGGACCATGGAGGACTAACGTCCCTGTTTCGACTGAGGTACAACCACTTGAGACAAGGGGCCTCTTATCGTCAGTAATTAAGTAAGTATCAGCTGTCATTTTTCCCAAGCGATCGAGGAAAGATAGTAGCCCTGAAACTCCCCCCTCTTGACTGTCCCTCTATCTCATCCCACTTTCGTTTTGCCAAGGCTTGATTCTGTTATCAGCTGGACCCGTCTCCTATCTCGGGAGGTTGTGGGGACTCGTCGAAGCTAGCACGAGACACGAAAGACACAGGACTTCAGCCGATCCTGCCCCGCCTACCCAGCTTCACGCAGTTTTAACATCTGTCTTGATCCCCACCACAGTTGAAGCAAGTGTGTTTGTTTTTTTTTAGTATAGTATAAAGTTTTAGTTGATTATTCCCACTGACATTTTTTGAGTATAATTGTGACTGTTCATATCTCATTAATTTTAAGAGTACTAGTGCCATTATTAAGACTAGGTCTGTGTATATTTGTTTAGCTTAGGTGTAACAAAATGTATATATTTAGGTAATATTATAATTATGATTTTTACTTTTTTTGTGTGAACCATCATAAGTCACCTCATAAATGCACAACAAATTATAAAGTCTTAAGTACTGTCGTAAATAATAGTATTGAATTTTAAGCAGTTGTTAAGTATTCATTATTTGTAGGCCTACATGGTTTTTTTTCCCCTCTGCTGATCAGTATGAAAATATTAATAAAAGTGTTAATGTTTTGCCTTCAAATAGTGTCCTTCTTCTATGATATAGGCTACCTACATAAACTCTGGAAATATTCCAAAGTTTAACTAATAACAGAATTTGATTCCTGTAGCTGACATACATACTCACCATTGTTTATAACCATTCATATGAAGATTCAATTCAATTTTACATTTTTGAAATCAAATTAAAAAAATATTTAGGTAAATGGTTACAGATACAAAGTTTTTAAAAAAAATATTTTCTATAAATTACTTTAGTAGGCCTATCTTCTATTTAAAAGTATTAATTAATTAATTATTGTATAACAATGAATGACAAAGTCTAATAGATCTCTTTCTAATTATTTAATTTTTCTTTTTGACAGGATGGTCAGTTAGCACAAAAGGTGAAATAGAATGGAGTCAACACTCCAATACACATCAGTCAGCCATGCCGACTCAATGATGGACATGATCAACAAGATGAGGCGGAGCTCTGACTTTTGTGATGTCACAGTAGTGGTTGGCAATTTTCGTATAATGGCTCACAGAATTATTCTGTCTGCTTCTGCCCCATTTTTTTATGAGGTAATGCTATAGATGTATATAAAAACACAGACAAAGGAAAAGTTATGTTTGGGTATATACAGCACACACTTTAAAATCAGTGAAATGACAAATATGTTGTGGGTTACACAAGAAATATTTTTTTCTGGACTTAATGTAAACCGATTATCAGATGCCATGCACTAAAGTTTCAACAGAAAATAAAAATCTAGGTAAATGACTTAAATATAAAGACAATTTTTCTAAAAATTTCATTAAAAAAAAAAGTATTTTGTCTAAAAAAAAGAGGATAGATATAAATAGGTGTATCAAAGCCTGAATTTGTTTCCTAAGCTTGTCACCTATAACAACATACATTTTGTTTTAAAACATTTGTTGTTAGTTGTTGTTTTGCAATTATTAATGTCATACAAATTATTTTTTTCTAGATGGGATTTACTTATTTTTTACATTTAAGATAAATTTTGCCTACTTTTGTTCTATAATTTTGACTACTGATAAAAATAATATATATTTGTCACCAGCTCTTCAAGCCATGTCAGCTTCCCTCATCTATCCCAGAGTTCCACCTTGATGATGTCGATGAAACCGCAGCTCTGAAAATCATAGAATTCTGCTACACGTCTGCGCTCTCCTTGGATGAAGACACCGTCTGGCCACTGATGGTTGCCGCAACGAAGCTTGACTTTTCAGAAATCACAGCTTTGTGCTGCGATTTCCTGACATCATCACTTGACCTCTCGACCTGCATCAGCATCCACCTGCTGGCCCACAAGCACAGCATCCCCAAGCTGCTGGCAAACACAAAACAGTTTATATCTGAAAATGTTGAACAGGTCAGTCTGTGCGAAGCCTGTTAGGTAACTAAGAGAAGCAGCTGTAATGGGATAAAGAAACCTGCAGTGGTTCATCCATTAGTTTTGGGACCTGCATATGTAAAAAATTCTGTTTAGGAGACTTATATTTTCTCTGTCACTTAAGAATTTCTTTAAAACTCTTTGAAAACTTTACTTATTACATACTGTTGAATTTTCACCTTTAACTGAGTAGTCCCATGGATAAATTCAATTATTTCAATGCTTTAAAGATTAAGATATTTTCTTTGGTAGCAATACATTATTCCAGTTAATGCTTTCTTAAAGAACTTTAATGTCTTGTATTGTTTCTTACCAATGGTGATTAAAGAGAGATAACTGAAAGGTTATAAACTGTGGTTCTTTGTTTCATTTTTTTTTTAAATAAAAAAAATTGAAAAATTAAACGTCTGCGTAATTTCTGATTCATTATTGAGAAAACATAAAAACGTTAAATCGTGTCCCTGTGGTGACATATTTTAAGCAGTGCATTCTTAGATTTAATTCTTTTTTTAAAATTACTACTAGGACCCATCATTAATCTAACATTGCTAACAGATGTTTCAATGATATACATTACAGTTATGTGAGCACCATTCCCTGCGCTGTCTGGCATCAGATGGTATCATTGAGCTCATCACAAGCCTACGAGACCTGCTGTGCTCGGACTCAGAGCTGCTCCTGCTTGCAAAGCCCTGGCTTGAGCACAACACGGAGCACAGGAAACAGGTGTCTCTCAAGGTGAATGGAATAACAATGAAAGAAACCTGATTGGTCGAGCTGTCCTTAGAGAAACTAGATTATGTAAACAAAAACTGCTCTGTTGCACAATGGTAACATGATTGGCTCATAACCAGCAGGTAACCGGTACAATGTTGTACGGGGTATAGCTTAAGGGGTATAAGCAGTGTGGGATTCACTATACCCTAAACAGTATGGGATTCACTATACCCTAAGCAGTGTAGGATTCACTATACCCTAAGCAGTGTGGGATTCACTATACCCTAAGCAGTGTGGGATTCACTATACCCTAAGCAGTGTGGGATTCACTATACCCTAAGCAGTGTGGGATTCACTATACCCAAAGCAGTGTGGGATTGACTATACCCTAACCCCCACCAAGGAAGCTATTTTCGGGGAGGGAAAGCGTTAGTAGAAAACCTCAACAAGGACGCTGACCAGGACAAAAACGAAATGGTGTGAAGAAATAGTGGCTAAAGCATGTTACTGGGCCAAATTCTGTAACCTTCCTAAAAAATAATACAGCTTCCAAATCATCCAGATGAGGGGAACAATTTTTTTTTAAACTGTATTTCCTTTAATTTTAGAGATGAAGTTCAGTACGCAGCTAAAGACTAAAAGGTTTTCAAATCTGTCCTGGTATTTACCTATTATATAAATGTGCTAAATATGTGAAATAAAGTATGGGGGAAACCTGAAAAAAGGACCTAAACAAAACAAGAAATGTGTCATCAAAAAGCTTTCTTCAGCGAGCAAAATACGAGTAACACAAATATAAAAAAATAGAATAAACATTTAGCCGAAATGTAGTATGAGAGAGGGCAGCAAGAAGAGTGTAATGGACCATTAAAAGGTAAGAGTGTTAATATAGGTAATAGGAAGAGATGAAAAGTAAGTCCATGGAGAAATGGTTGTAAAAAGGAAGGGATTGGGGGTGGGGGGGGGTTTGTGCAATATATGACTATATATAGCACTATATAAATGTGTTGAGAATTTTAAAATAAAAAATTTATTGATATGAGCTTTGATTGAATAGTTTTACAGCTTAACAACAATGTGGCAGAGTTCAAATAATAACCTCCCTGTTTTAATCATAATCAAAGAAAGAAAGATATAATTTTCTGTTAAAAATAAATCCTGTGTGATACAAGAGCAAATTTAACACTCATTATCATTCACCTAGAGCAGTGTTGCTCAATCTATTTTGGTTGTGGTTTACTTAATTTTATTGTTTCCTTTACCTCTGTAACCCAATTTCTCTCTTTCTAATATAGAAATCTGCTCTTTTCATAGTTTCATGCTTAAAGTCATTCATTTGTAGCCCACAAAGAATATGCTGTGTCCACCGGGGGGGGGGGGGGGGGGAAGAGGGGGGTGGGGGGAGGACAGAATGGCAAACACTGAGAAACTCTGACCTTCAGCACATCCCAGGGTGGACTCATGAGTATTTTAAAGCATGGTTCAGAGGATTTGATTAGGAAAAAAAAAAAGTTCATATGACATTTATAAGAGCATTGTATCTACACCTATCATAATTGTAATGTTGTACAATCATTATTTTCAGCTGAGTCAGGAAATACCAACATTTTCAAAAAAACTTCAAGAATATCTAGCACATCGAATACCCAGCAGTGACCAGGAAAAAATACCAGCAGTTGAGAATGGTGAGTAGTTAACCAGCCACATGCACAAATATTGCTTTTTTAACCTTACTCTTGTTATTGCTGTGTGCCGAGTGTTTATTCTTTGAATGTGCCATTGGGCCTAGCACTAGGCTAGAGATTCTATTATTCTAATTTGTCTCCCATTTGGTCAAGATTGGAGCGTAATATTATCAGGGACACATGAAAATCCTTATAAATAGTCTAGTGATAAAGCTGTAGCCATATTTAGCCATGATTTTAGTGCAGGTTTTAAAAAAAATATTATGTTAAAAGAAATTTTTTTTTTTGCTCGTGGTGCAGTTTTTTGTTATTGTTTTTCTTGCCACCTTCCCTCAAATTTAAAATATCAATGTGTAAGGGTGACAAAAAATGGTCTAGAATGAAAGCAGAGCAGAATGCGAAGCAAAATTTCTAGCCAGTGGTAAAGGGAAGTGTTTAAGTGAAGTATTGAAGTGAAGTGTTAGAGAAAAGTGTTAAAGTGAAGCATTAAAGTGAAGTGTTAAAGTGAAGTTTTAAAAGGAAAGTGTTCAGGTGTGAAGTGTTTGAACTCAGAAAATGATAAGTAAAACTGCTTGGAGTTTTCCTTGGAGTTCAATGTGCAGATCAGCAGGCAGGCTGTGTCAGGATGTGTTTCTTATTCACAGGCTAATCTAGGCTGGAACATTTCTATATTGTCAGATGTGCACAGTCATTTGTTAAAATTTTTTGCAATTGAAGCTGACACTTGCTAACCTGTTTTGCTCTTTCACATTGGAGACACTTGCTAACCCGTTTTGCTCTTTCACATTGGAAGCTTTCCGTTATGTTCTACTTTTTCTCATTTCATTTAAGATCTTCAAACAGAAAAAACAAATATTTTTTTTTAATGTGGGAAATCAGTGATTAATTGTTGCCCACATCATCAAAGTAACCCCTGCATGGACTCCTTTAGCCCAATACATTGTGCCAGGATTCTTTAAGACACGATGATAGTTATTAGCAGCTTCTGGAAGCAAATATATATATATATATATATATATATATATCTCAGTTGAGAAGTCTTATTATTCTTTTGATATGTGTACATTTTAATTTTTTTTATTTTTGGTGTAATAAACGAAGATTGTAACCCCTGACCCCCTGCTTCAAGAGTCCGCCCTGCCAATGATTCACTCACCCGGTATGGGATTGTTGGCTCGCAAACTTCACAAAGGGGGGCAGTGTTTCCTGAACACTTAAGAGTGGTCCTCCCCAAGTGGATGTTTGTCTCCCTTTACTTCAAGTGGTCCTCTCTCTCTCTCGTCCACAAGTGCGTGCGTCTCTCTGCTAGTCATCCTCCCTCTGTAACCTCATGTACTACATTTTTACACACTGCCCCCCCTCCCCCTCCCCACCCCACAGGCACACAAACACACACTCAGTTATCTTATATTGGTGTTCACCTTTAGTTAAGGGTGTCAGAATCTGTGTCACAATATTGGGTGTTAGCTTCATTAGCATTAACACCACCCCCCCCCCTCCCCAACCCCCAGAAAAAAAATAGTTTGTTGTTCATTTTTACTGCTTCAATATTAATACAATAATTCATTCGTCATGGTTGAAAAATCGTGGTAATCCAACTTTTTAGAAATCATTTTTAAATGAAACATAATTCAGAGGTTATCCCCACATTCATGGTGGCCTCTGTCAGTGTGACAATGATGAGGTTTGCATGTTATGTTCAGTGCAGTAAGGCAGGTGGTTGGTGCATGTTATGTTCAGTGCAGTAAGGCAGGTGGTTGGTGCATGTTATGTTCAGTGCAGTAAGGCAGGTGGTTGGTGCATGTTATGTTCAGTGCAGTAAGGCAGGTGGTTGGTGCATGTTATGTTCAGTGCAGTAAGGCAGGTGGTTGGTGCATGTTATGTTCAGTGCAGTAAGGCAGGTGGTTGGTGCATGTTATGTTCAGTGCAGTAAGGCAGGTGGTTGGTGCATGTTATGTTCAGTGCAGTAAGGCAGGTGGTTGGTGCATGTTATGTTCAGTGCAGTAAGGCAGGTGGTTGGTGCATGTTATGTTCAGTGCAGTAAGGCAGGTGGTTGGTGCATGTTATGTTCAGTGCAGTAAGGCAGGTGGTTGGTGCATGTTATGTTCAGTGCAGTAAGGCAGGTGGTTGGTGCATGTTATGTTCAGTGCAGTAAGGCAGGTGGTTGGTGCATGTTCTGATCAGTGCAGTAAGGCAGGTGGTTGGCACATGATCTATTTAGTGCAGTAGGGCAGGTTATTGGTATGAAGGAGTCTGAATTCAGAACTGTTTTGAAACTTCCAAATTTTCATATTCGTAAAAAAAAAATCCGGATTTAATATGATTATTTGAAAAATAAATTAATCCTTTGGGATTTTATTAACATTTTTGGCGTGCTGTAGAGGACATACTGACTCCGTGTTATAGAGGACATACTGACTCCATGCTGTAGAGGGCATACTGATCCATGCTGTAGAGGACGTACTGAATCCATGCTGTAGAGGACATACCAACTCCATTATTTAGAGGACATACCAACTCCATGCTATAGAGGACATACTGACTCCATGCTGTAGATGACATACTGACTCTGTGCTGGAGAGGATATACAGATTCCATGCTGTAGAGGATATACTAGCTACTTGCTGTAGAGGATATACTGGCTACTTGCTGTAGAGGATATACTGACACCATTTCTAAGATTAAAACACTTTTAGAAAAACATTAAGTGAAAGTTTCTGATATCCGCCTCAGATCCCCTGTTGCTACTAACCTTCTACTACCTACTAACCTTCTACTACCTACTAACCTTCTACTACGTACACAGTTCTCATCGTATAATAAAAACCTTCTGTTGCCCTCTTACTTTATTTCATTTGTTTATTCAGTTTTTTTTTTTTAACACATTACGATTCCAGTTAATCTCAAACCCAAGATTTTTAAATTTCATGAGATGCCACTCATGGCTGGGTGCCCAGCTGACTAAACTGAGTCAATCGCAATCATGCGGACATGAGTTCAATCCCCAAGTGGATGGGATCATTTAAACATGAATCTAAGAGAAGACAGACTTTAAAATCAAACCCTGAGATGGATTCCCATAGGCGTTACGACATTGACACAATGAAAATTACAACTAATCCTGCCATGTGGAATGCATAAAGAGCAACGTGAGACACAATGAACACTGCTTGTCATCTAATGAATCCTGATTCTTTTCCACTCGCCTTGACTAATCTTGCCATTGGATCAAATAGGCAAAGACGAGAGAGTAATAGACCTGTTTACTCTTACGATTTTGGTGTACAATGTACGATTTTGAGGTGTATACATTATATATACTCAATGTTTATTATTTTACTATTAAGATAATGAATTGAACGATTTTGTGATGATATTGTACGATTGTAAGAGTTTGAGGGTAAACGGGTCTGGTGTAAGGCTGACAAATTGAGCAACTCTCCACCACTTGGAACAAAATACAGCTCAAGTCAAGGCTACCACTCAAGTCAAAGACTTCGTCATCTTTGCGTTGTGAATAACGAACAATAATAATAAATAACATTAGTTATTTGTTGTTTTTTTCTCTGTTGTTCATTATCTGTTCCTTTTGCTGCTGATTAAGTTCACCGGCCGAAACGTCTGCTGTTTTGTCTCATCTTTTTTTGGGTTCTCCTCTTCCTTGTGTGCTGTATTTCTTATTTCAGCTAACTGAACAAAATCCTTCCAATATTGGTCTAAAGACCGAAGCCCACCCAAAATTGGTCTAAATACAGCAGTCCTCCCTATATCGGTGTAAAGACACAGTCCTCCCTATATTAGTCTAAAGACAGCAGTCCTCCCTATATCGCTGTAAAGACAGCAGAACTCCCTATATTAGTCTAAAGACAGCAGTCCTCCCCACATTAGTCTAAAGACAGCGGAACTCCCCATAATGGTCTAAAGACTTTATTCCTCCTCATATTGTTCTAAAAACAGCAGCCGCCCTCGAATCGGTCTAAAGACAGCAGTACACATTGAAATGGGTTGAAAATCGATCCGCCACACTTCCCTGACACAATTTGTAGTTTTTTTCCTTTGCCAAGTTATAAAAAAAAATATCAGTCCAAATTCCCTCAAGTTTTCCCATAGTAATTTGTTACTAGGCAGTATTTACTTGCTGATAAAAATATGCATTTTTTAAAAAAGTCTTAATGTCTTAATTCACAACTGGTCCTTTAAATTTCAGGCATCATAAGAGCACACCAGACTAGCGTCGATTCGCAGTTCCTTGGAGTGGATCATCAAGATCCCAGCGACCCCAATGGGGTGCCACTTCATATTTGCGTCTCCTGCGGGGATGAATTTGACAGCCAGTCACAGCTGATGGCCCATCAGAAGGTATGTGATGAATCTGCCCATCAGAAGCTGTGTCCTGAACCTGCCCATCAAAAGGAATGCGATGACTCTGCTGATCAGAAAATGTCAGAAGAATCGTCTCAATCAGCAGCCACCAACAAATTAACTCCGAGCTTCATGAGTGAAAAAGATGGGTTTGATGCGGAACAAGCACTACAAAGAGATGATGGGGAAAATGGTTTTGATCCCAAACCCATCTCTTCAAAGCCTGAGAGACTTCCATTTTGGCCAGTCCTCAAGGAAGACCCAGGTTTTAAGGGAAAAAACTCTCACAAAATTTCACGGAGCAGAGAAAGAAAAATGAAATCACATAATCAAAGCAAATCCTTTACATCTGACATTGAACAATGCAGGGGTGGAGATGACAGGGTTGTGTCAAATTTAGCTAGGAATCAAAACAATACAGACATTACCAGTAATCAGTTAGGTACCGGAAAATTGGTGGAATGTCCAAATGAAATACAACTATGGTCAAATGTGCTAAGTCCTGCTGAGGAATTCTCCAGTGAGGACAATCAAAGCTCGTCGAGTGATGAACTTGTTCATGAACTCTCCGGTTCACCTATGAGCCCACGGCAGAGTTCATTTCTCAATGACACCAACAACAATGACATACGTGACTTGTCCGCTGTTTTCAACGATGACAGCACTGGTGATGAAATCGATGTGGTTAATGACGCAATGGAGGACAGGCCAATCATCAGAAGGGTCATGTCTGATGAGGGTCCAAAGTGTGGGCCCACGCCAGTTCAATTCCCTGTTCCATTTGCTTCTATAACCTCGCTGGCCAATAAAATCCTCAATGATCGAAATCAAAATGGGAGATCACTGCTGGGAAATCTGAAATGTCAAATCTGCGATCAGCATTTCAACGAAAGAAAGCACCTGGCCAAACATTGGAAATACATTCACGGCATGGAACACGAGAACGGAAGTCAACAGAGTTCCAAGAAGCCAGCCGCAGAGGGTGGGACGTTCTTAGAAAATGAAGCCGTTGATACAAGGCAGCATGGGTCAAATAAAAAAATGAATGATGAAGTCAGCAATGGGCAGGAATCTGGGGGTTTTCATAATGTGTGCAAACCTGAATGCCACTTTGTGAATGGAGGAGTCAAAGAGTCCATTGAAGAGTTGAACCCGGACGTGATGAAACAGCTCCTCCGTCAGTACAACTACTACAACGAGTTCACAAAATGGTGCTTTGAGCAGGGGACAGTGTTCTGTCAAGTGTGCATGATGTACCATGCCAAAGGAAGCATGTGTCCCAAGTCAGGTTTAGAACAGAAAACCGACCAGGTGATCTCAACCTGTAATGACCAAGGCTTTGAATTAAAGCCAGCTAAATGCAATGATCAAAATGAGTCGGAGAATGATAAATGTAACAGTAAGGAAGGCTCTGGTGAAGAAGACGGACCCCTTGACATGAGTCAAAGCTCTCAGAAGTACACAGCAGCTTGTAAAGGGGCTAAGTTTTCGGTCAACCATTCCAGTACAAACACACCTTTTGTGCCTTTAAGCCAGGACCTGTCGCAGTACTACAACAACTACGCACACATCATGGCTGCCGCCGCGGCTGGTAACATCCAGGACAGAGGTCATTATGGACTCCTCTACCCTGATGCCCATTCCCAGCCCAGGACTCTGGATTTCCCCAGCGAGTCGATGTATCCGCCCTACTTCAGCTATCCCACCGCCTCCCCCTATCCATTAAACTTAGCCTCAGATAATCCCAGGGAGTCCTCCAGGCACCCCCAATCGACTGCCCACAACAACAGTACAGCGAATCATTCTCCTCCTTCCAAAAGGAAAGTCTCATCCAAGCAAGGGTTCCCATGCACTGTTTGCAGCCGAGTCTTCTCCTACCAGGCAGCTCTGTTTACACACATGCGTACACACTCCCCATCAGCACGGCTGTACCAGTGCACACTGTGTCACCAGAACTTTGCCAGGGCGCCTGACCTCAAGGTTCACGTGTGTCCCAATGGCATCGAGAAGCCTTACACGTGCTCCAGCTGTGGCCAGACTTTTGCTAAGAACATCCACCTGAAGCGCCACCTGGCGACTCACTCTGGGCTCAAGCCCTACCCTTGCTGGGTGTGCGGGAAGAGGTTCAGCCGCAGCGACCACCTCAAAAGGCACACACAAAGCATACATGCGGGCACCAGGCCACACGGGTGCCAGGTTTGCGGTAAAGAATTTGTCAGGAAGTATGAGCTCAACAAGCACATGATGAGCCACACAGTGGAGCAGCTGAGGCTCACCGGGGAGCAGCCCAGCAGCACACCGGGTGCCTTGGACTTTGGTCAATCCATGGACACCATCAGCAGCAGTCAGCTGAGTCAGCATTCCAGTCCTACAAACAGTAGCATGTCCTGATCCAATTTTTTTTTTTATTTACCTTTTCTTTTCTATAATAATTGCCTTTATTTTAAGCCCTAAAATTATTAAACATATGTTCAAATTTTGAACATATGATTTTTTTTTTTAAATACTATTCTCAATTCCAGAGCTGAAAAGTTTATGTTTAGATATGGCTATGTCAAACAGATATCAAGTTCCTCTTACACTTCCTACCCTCCGTCACCTGCATACAATGTTCTAAATTGTGTAAGGGTCACTGACACGAGGAGAAATATAGTTATCGATTGCAGAACCCTTGAGATCACGCTAACACACTTTTTATTCTGTAATCATCAGCTTGGGGAATATCGGACATTGTCCTTCTGATAAAAGTCGGAACCTAAAAGTGTTAAAAAAACAAACTTTGTATGACAGACCGCTCGGTGCAGTGGGGCACAATCTGTAGGGTCATGATCCCTTTTGTGCTTGGTTCCATTGATGGGGAGACCTGAGGTCTCATAAACTATTTTTTGTTAAACCTAAATAGTATTAGCATCCATCAGGCATGGAGATGAGTTATGATGACAAGGTTAAAACTTAGCTCTGTCATAGAATGACTTTCAAATTAAATGATTTTGACTATCATTATTTTCCAATTGCTACCATTTTTTCCAATGACTATTGTTATTTTCCAATGACTATCATTATTTTCCAATGGCTACCATTATTTTCCAACGGCTACCATTTTTTCCAATGACTGTTGTTATTTTCCAATGACTGTTATTATTTTCCAATGGCTAATCATTATTTTCTAATGGCTACCATTTTTTCCAATGACTATCATTAATTTTCAATGACTACCATTATTTTTTAATAATTACCCTTATTTTCCAATGACTACCATTAATTTCCAATGACTACCATTTTTTTCAACGACTACCATTATTTTCCAATGGACACCATTATTTTCCAACGACTACCATTATTTTCCAATAACTATCAACACATGAAGTCTATATTTTAAACCATAACATGTGATTGAGACTCAGTGTTTTAAATGTTTTATCACCCAAACAAACAAAAAATGCTCAGTATTTGATTGCGTCATTTCAGGGAGTTTATTGAAATTTATTATCCATCTTTTTGCTATTGAACATTACTCAGACACAGAGGCTGAGTATTTTGTCATAATAGACTATTTTGTACTATGGGTGATCACGCTGTAGGCTTTCAACCATCAGTTCTCTCCAAGAATTGTCCAAAGATATTTTATGCTTGCCTGTATTTTTTCAAGACTATGATTATTACATATCCCTGCCCCCCCCCAGTTTCTGAGGCAGGTCTTTGTTAGCACTGTTTCTAAGACAGATCTTTGTTAGCACTGTTTCGGAGGCAGGTCTCTGTTAACACTGTTTCTAAGACAGGTTTTCCCCCTTTTTGCCAGCTTTCCCTGTTGTTTTATTTGCTTGTGATATAAAAAGTATAAATATTTTGTTTTATAATTATACATTTGTTCTTTTATGCCGTCGTTGTGCAAGTGCTGCAGTAACTTTGTAGATGGAATTTAGAGTTCATAGTCAGATTCTAGAATTCCTCTTTGGTTATTATTTATTTTGTGTACCAGACCGGTCCTGTTAACCCTGGGATCATATACTCCTGCGATAGATTTTTTAAAAATTAACATTTAAATATGTCTGTAAAAATTTACAAACTGTTGACATGATTCACCCACCCCGTGTTAATAAATGCATCCCTGTGATGTCATACTCTAAGTCACAGTATATTTTTTTCTTCAACTCATCACTCCAGTCTTAGACTTGTTGATGACCTCTGGCTATTTTTATTACAATTATTACCAAAAATAGCAAAAAAACTAAAAATTTAACTTTTTTTTTTTTTTCCCAAAATATTTTTATGATGACCTAGTCTGTGTGGGTCATGGGATTTTGAATGTCATGTTGATGCTTCCCCATTCTACATATAGATTAATACTCTCTGAATAAAGTATTTGTCTTAAGTTGTTAAACTAATCTCAGTGATCTTTATAATTATATAATTAAATTAAAAAATTAGACTACCACAACATGTGTGTGGTTAAAACCCATTTCGACAGCTGTGGTGTCAGTGCTTTTCATTTTCAATGTAGTTTCTCTTTGAACTGCACATATTTAACCAAAAAAAAAAATTAAATCAGATATTCCATGCCTACTCTATCAGATATGATATTTCTACTCTTGTAGATATTCCATGTCCACTCTATGAGATATTGTGTGTCCAGTCGGTGCCTTTTCCAGCACTCAGAAATCCATTTGATACTCATCAACTCATTTTTTTTTTTTCTGGTCTTTACATTCCATCACATTACCAGTATCTTGCCTGCCCCATGTGCCCTACATGCCCTATAACAAGATATACCATCATTCCTTATCTGCTTTTAGGGGTTAATAAATAATTTTACCACTGTCTCTCATGCCTGCTGAATGGTGAGGGCTGTGCTGTAGCAATGGCATTTCCGCACACCATCATTGTCGACGCATTATCATATGTGTGTATCAACACACCAGCAGTGTCCACACATTTAAGCATTATTTGTGTATCAACACACCATCAGTGTCCCCACATCATGAATCATAAACCAATTCATTGCAATTATTGAGACGATCACTTTATTCGGACAACCTGATTTCCTTTCCCTCAGTGCGAGGAGTTGTGTCTAATGTCATTGCCATGCCTGCTAAAAGTGCCATTATTTTATACAACTCAGATCATTGCATAATATCAATTGCTTTATCTCTACTAGATTATTCCAATTTAATTTATCTTCTTCATAATGTTAATTTATATTAATCAGCTTGACTGCCAGATCAATAATTTGTTTGGTTAAAAATCAAATTATATTTATAAATATATATAACAAATTTATATCATATATATATATTATAACAGTATATACATATATATATATATATATATATTATTGATATTTTTTTTTTTATAACTAGTACTTCAAAATACCTTTGAAAAATATCCTGCTTTATTTCGTCTATTTTGTGTTACCAATATTGTAATGTCAAGTTGTTTTAATCTAATAGGGCCGATAGGTTGTGGTTGTCATTGTAGGCTTTTAGCCTTGATGATGTCTTCAATTTCATCATACCATAAGCTTTTGCCATTTTCATTATTTTTAAAAAAACTATTACTCAGAAGTCTCTGGGTTATTTTAAAAGGTCTATAACAGAAATCATTGTGCCTGATTGTGTTGAGTCCAGAATTTCAATGAAAGCCTTAACAGCAATGTACAAAAAGAAAGTGGCGGGGGGGGGGGGGAGAGAGGAGGATATGTTAGTAATTGTTTGAGATCATTTGTCAATTAGTCAGCAACAAGCTGTCAATGATTTTAAGTATTTTTTTTTTTTAATTTTTACAAATACGAATAATGTATTAAATTATTTTGCCCTAAAACATTGTGTGTATGGAAACCCACAAGGGCTGTTTAATAATTGCTGTCACACTTTTTTGAAAACTGACATTAATTTACAATGTTTGAGTTATGGACTTATCATGTTGCTGTACACAAAGTTCAACTGGAAGTATTTTAAAAAAAGCAGAAGTTTTTTAAGAGAATTACTTCAACGAAAAAAGCAGATTTCATTTGGACTGTCGTGGGGCACAGTTCATATTCAGCAATGGCTCAATGTCTTCTAAACTTGAAATTCATAATTAAAAAAAAAAATGTTTCCTGTCTTGGCAATCATGTTTCAAATATTTTAATCAGTGCTAAGATTTGAGAAAATGTGTCCCTGTAACTGTAAATATTTAACTGCTTTAGCATACAGAGAGTATTAGAATGACATGTTTATGATATGTCATTGTTTTATGCCTTTACTTGTTTTTAAATCAGCATTTGAATGAGGAGGTTATTATAAAATGCCTCATATACTTCTGCATTTTCCTTTGCCTAATTATTAATCTCAAACCCAATTTTCTATGGGAATTATGGTTTCTTGAGATGGGTGATTGAAGTTGTGTTATGTGTAATACATGATTTCAACATGTTTTTTTTAATGTATTTATTAAAAATGCCAAATTCAAAATAAGCTGCCAGACTAAACGACTTTAATTTGTTAATGACAAAATATCATTAAAATTAAATAGTCCCATTAAATTTTGTTTAAAAATAAAACAATGTTACTAAATGGTTCCATTTCAATCTGTTAATAAGGCAATGTTATGGGATGGTCCCATTTTTATTTTAAAATTTTATGGTTTGTTTAACTGTTAAAAAACCTTGGTATTATTTAATGTTTTGTTGCTATAATTTCATTAATTATATTTTATTTAATTATAAATCATTAAAACGTTATATAGCGGTCCCACTTTTAAAGTAATTTCAATGCAATACCATTGTAATAGTCCTATTTATTCTTTTTATATGATGCTGAGTCACATAACATTAAATGTAGCATCCTAATTTAAGTCTACTGTTCATAACATGTTAAACAAAATTCCCAGTGCAATTTGAAGCATTTCTGATGTTCCATTCCAGTATTCCTTGTTCCATTCCAATTGTTACAATCTTTATATTTTTTTGAGACATAATATATCATCTGCTGTTTTGATAAATTGGTGTGTTGTAACACAGCCAAATGTTGATTATTGCAATATGATAAAGTGCTTCACTGCTTCTGTCCTCACTCTAAAAGATGTTACATTTTTTTTAAAAATGGTGTCTTTTTTTTTTCTTTTTCCCCCACCGATCACTGATAATTCACCATCAATGAATTATTTGAAAAATTAATTACAGGCATATTGAAAACGAAAGGAATTAACATTAATAAAGATTAAATTTATGAGAACAAACGTTAATTAGATTTATTATTTTAAACTTTCGAATATCTTTTTTATTATTTTTTTTTTTTAACATAAAGACCATTCAACTTAAACTAGATCTTTTTTTTTCTTTTTCATAAAGTTTATGGCAGATAAATAATTTTTTTTTTCAAAAGTTATTATTCATGTTTTTTTTTATGTAAAAAATTTA